ATAAAATGCTATTAAAGCCAAAACAGCAACCAAAGAGCTTACAGAAGAGATAAATAGAGCATACTGAAACAAAAGGACAGCTCAAAGTGGTTCTCACAGCTAGAATGGCTGGATAAAAGAGAAGATTGTTTAGCCTGTCTTTCCTCCAAAAATCCGCCATTTTACCACTTTTTCTGTGGCGCGTTAATTAGAATTGGTTAAGTGCTAAAGGTCCATTTTAAGTCATCACGACTAAATAGTCATCATGACTCGACTATTGATAGTACCCAATAAGTATGTCGGTCCTACTTGCCATAGGTTGACATAAAATATGTTGTTACGACATATTAAACACGTTGTTACGACGTTTTTATGTCGTGTCGACATAAATCACGTCAACACGACGTCATAAGGTAGGGATATAATTTTGAAACATTTGGCTTGCCATAGGGGCGAGCTCAGGCTCGCCCCAATAATATAATTTTTCAGCTCCTTTTTTTACCTGAGTGGCTATCAAATATTTGATGAGCTAAATTAATTTCATCAGCATTCAACAGTGCAATAGTGATGCTTTTCCAAGTTATATCAGGACTGCTATCAAGATAATATTGAGCTACAGCACTCATGTAATCAAAAGGACTAGGTTGAATATCACAGAGTTCCTCCACTCTATGTTTAATGCTACTAACAGTATCTTGTGTCATGTTAGGAAGATGACAGACAAACTGTTCCCAAGTACCAGCAGTAAACTTTGAGCTACTCAATAACTCAATTAACTCATCTTTTGTTGGCTTGTCTGTGTATAAAACATAATAACCTTTATAGTTTTAATTCAGTTTAATTCAGTTTACCTGTAAGAGTGGGTCCAGGATTGAGTTCCACATCTCCTGATATGAAGAGGAGAATAGCGAGACAAAAAATAGACAAAACAAGCCTAGGGGTCTTGACATTGGCTCTACCTATTCCACTGTTAGATGTCCAGTAAATGCACGGGTAAATGCTACCACTGCTAGTACAGCTACAGTTCCAAGATCCTATTCTAGCTCTCCACTGACACAAGTCAATCATTGCCTTGGCCGAGGTGTGACCCTTGAAACGCCTGACTTAGCTAGTCAAAACAAGGGCGTGGCTCGTTGAGTTGTCGTTTGTGCATAGATAGTAGAGTACACCCAGCAAAGATGAACAGCACTGGTATCCAAGCATAGGTACTGGCACAAGCTTAAGCCTGAATTGACTGGACAAAAAATGAATCTACATGCATGCAATTGACGTAAAATTCAAATAAAATTCTTTTTCTTTGATTTTAAAGATGATGATTGTGTGAGTGATTGTTTAGTGTGCAGTGCATTCCAGAGTAGCTGTGCATTAGTATCGTTTC